AGGGAGCCCGATGCGGGGCTCGATCCCAGGACCCTGGGATCACGACCTGAGCCGAAGGCAGACGCTTAACGACTGAGCCACCCAGGCGCCCCGGGTTCTTATTTCTTGAGAGTGTCCTGGAACCTGGGCCTCATCATCCTGATTAGGATGGACTCTTACCTACATACACCCATGTACTTCCTCCTCAGCAATTTATCCTTCTTAGATTTTTGCTATGTTATCTCCACAACCCCCAAAATGCTCTCAGACTTCTTCCAGAAGCCTAAGTCCATCTCATTTTTGGGGTGCACTATGCAGTACTTCTTCTTCTCTAGCCTGGGTCTGACTGAGTGCTGTCTCCTGGCAGCCATGGCTTATGACCGATATGCTGCCATTTGTAATCCTCTGCTCTACACTGCCATCATGTCACCCACCCTCTGTGTCCAGATGATGGTTGGAGCCTATATAACTGGCCTCTTTGGTTCATTGATTCAACTGTGTGCTTTACTTCAGCTCAATTTCTGTGGGCCAAATGTTATCAACCACTTCTTCTGTGATCTGCCTCAATTATTAGTCCTATCCTGCTCTGAAACCTTTTTCCTAAAAGTCATGAAATTTGTGATAGCAGTGATTTTTGGTGTGATCTCTGTCTTTGCCATCATGATATCTTATATCATTGCCACCATCCTGAAGATCAGCTCTGGTGAAGGCAAGTCCAAGGCTTTCAACACCTATACTTCTCACCTGATAGCAGTGATCTGTTTTTTTGGATCAGGACTCTTTGTCTATATGCACCCCAGCACTGATAATTCTCTGGGCCATGACAAGATGGCATCAGTCTTCTATACAGTGATGATCCCTATGTGAATCCTTTGATTTACAGCTTGAGGAACAAGGAAATCAAAGATGCCCTTAAGAGGTGTAAGAAGAGAGCATTTTCCCAGTTTATATTAAATAAAGGCACAAACATATATAGAGAGCCAAGCCCCCATAACTGAGAACAAGTAGGGGAAAAAATTGTCCATATTAACAGACCTGAAAATCTTCAGATATTGGAATTATCAGTAAGAGGATAAGGAATTAGGATTAGCTATGGTGAACCAGATTAAATCTCCCCCAGAAGGAAGATATTTGCTCCTCAAAGGGAGAAATACTGAGAACAGGTCTGAGACCTGGCCACTCAGAGTGCTGAAAACAAGGGCATCAAAAGGAGGAGTCCTTACCATTTGCAACAACATGAATGGACCTTGAAGGCACTATGCTAAGTGAAATAAGTCAGAGGAAAACAAACACTGTATGATCTCACTTATATGTCAAATGTAAAAAAAGTAAAAACAAAAAAACCCCAAACTCAGATACAGAGATCAGATTGCTGGTATCCAGAGGGAGTGGAATGGAGTGTGGGCAAAATGGGTGAAGTTTATCAAAAGGTATGAACTTCCATTTATCAAATAAATCATAGAGATGTAAAGGACAGCATGGTGACTCTAGTTAATGATACAGTATTGTATATTTGAAAGTTGCTAACAGAGTAGATCTTAAAAGTTCTCATCACACAAAAAAAATTAAGATGGATGTTAACTAGACTTACGGTGATCATTTCCCAATAATAACATCGAATCATTATGTTGAATGTCTGAGATTAATATAATGTATGTCAGTTATAATCTCAAAAAAAAAAAAAAAAAGCAAAGGGAAGAGGCTTGGTATATCCATGTGGTGGAATATTATTCAGCCATAAAAAGGAATGGAGTAGTGATACATGCTACAACAAGGATGAACCTTGAAAACATGCTAAGTGAAAGAGTCCATCACAAAGGACCATATATGGCATGATTTCATTTTAATGAAATCTTCAAAATAGGGAGATCTATAGAGATGGGAAGTGGATTAGTGGTTGCCTAGGGACAAGGGGAGGGGAGTGATTGCTAATGGGTATGGAGTTTATTTTGATGAACATTTTCTAAAATTAGATTGTGGTAATGGTCGCAAAACTCTGTGAATATACTAAAAGCCACTGGATTGCACACTTTAAATGGGTAAATATTATATGTGAAGTATATCTCAATAAAGCTTTAAAAAAAAAATGGAGAACTAGGATGGAAAGTGCATAGGACCAAAGGCGACACTCTTGGGAAGGCACTGTTTCTGTGATGGGTATTTCATAGAGATTTGGTAATGAAAAAGGAAATGAACCATGGAAATTAAAGGTCTTAAGAAAATTTTAAAAATCAAGTAAAACACAACCCCATCTCCACTCCTAAGTCACCATATGAAACTGCCCTTGTTATACCAACATAAGAGGACAGACTTTTACTAAGAAACATAGTACACTTACAACCATACTTGATTCCTGCATAGCCCTGCACGGTCTCAGACTCTTAGACCACAGGCTGTGGTAAAACCATGATTGATTAATACTCCCAGGATCCTAGCAATCCCCCTGCCTGTTGTGCTATGGCATGGTACAGATTATCATTCATCAATAAGACACCCTGGATAGCTCCATGCTCTTGGGACAGAACTGAGCCAAGTGAGGAACTGAGAAGGAGGAGGGGGCAGGCCCTTTGATCAGAAGTGGAAATGGAGAGATTCACCATAGGTTTCCTTGAAATAGCCTTTTTTTCTCTTTATGCAATTAAAATATGGCTTGTGCCAATTAGAGTTACATATGGATTGGCAGGAATATGTTACATGGCTACGAAGATGACCACATTCACCAAAGAATATGAAATGGCAAGTAAGCTGGAATAAATTTTGTAATATATGAAGTATATTTCTTACATATGTATCTATTACAATGTGACATTAAAATGTGAAATCCTGTTAAAGACTTTCATCAACCAGTAGAGGGAGATCCATCGCAAGAGTATGTAGTGATTGAGAAGTTAACACAGACATGGCCTTAGGCAGATCTGGCTAGTGACAGTGATGATACTGACTTTAGTGTGTGTAACTCTTTGCAGTTTATATCCACAAACATCTGGTCTTCATGACAGCTTGGCTGATAGATGAGGAAGCAGAACTTCAGCTCTACTTGCTGAAGTGACCTAGCAAATGAGCAGCAGATGAAGGACAAGGCATGCATGTTTACCAGCATCACCCAAGGGGACAGAATGTTAACACCTGTCCCATAGTGGTCCAGACAGGATACTCTTTGTCCCCAGTAGTTGCCACTTTAGTTGGGATTACCCCTTCAAATATCTTGGCACGCATGACTGAGAGAGGCTGAATACATCCATGTCTGTGTCATGCACAGGAGATAGGAATACTTCTCTTTGATACTTCTCTTCATCCTAAGTACTCACAACTCCCAGTCTCGTTTATGTTTGGATAAAGATAAGAAAATTCTGAGTGTAAGAAAATTCCTCTTTGAACTAAGCAACAAGTTCTTTCCAAGTGACTTCAACCTATTACTTCTCATCTGCAAAAGGGACATTAACTATCCTCCCTCCTTACTTCATTAGATGCAGAAAGAGGTATGTGGAGCTAAAAAATGCAATACTTTTTCCTACCCTGTTCAGGAGGAATACAGTAAGCAGAGACCCCAGCTGCACTATAACCCAGCTGCACTGTCCCACCAGACTTCTGACCCAAGAAGTTGAGATAATATGTCTATTGTTCAAAGCTGCTAAATTTGCATTAATTCATCATTCCGCAATAGAAAACTGATATCCTCACTGCAAGTTTTAGTTTGCTTCTTTGTAAAGCTACCCCCCCAAACTTTGCAGTTGATATTCCAATGAAGCTATTATCTTTTGAAAGAAGTTTCTTTGGTTGTTCAAAGAAGGTTGTCCAAATAGGTTGTCTTATTCAATTCAGGTTATAGTCATTGAACATCTATTTGATGCCAGGCACTGGAACACAAAGATGAATAAGTTAAAATTCTAAAAATCCTCAAAGAGGTATAATACAAGTAGATGCATAACTGTTATCTGAGTCAGAAAGTGATGGAAGCCACGAAGGAATAACAGGTACAAGCCATGGGAATTTAGGTTAGGGAGAATTGAGTGTCTCAAGAAAGTTCATCTGGAATGGTTGTGGGGAATATGATAGGGCTCAGGAAGGATTTCATGCAGCAGTGAATATCTTTGTGGAGTTAGAGACCACATTTAAATAGATGATCCCATCAGCAACCTAAATCTGGGACTAGTCCTAGAAAGAGAAGAAGGTGGTGAGGGGTGGTGGTAGGAACCACTCAGAGACAGAGTGATGGATCCATGAATTTTGGAGGGTCTAAGGAGCAAGAAGTCATCAAGCATAGATTCACTGAGAGTTGCACAATAGAAAAACAGGAAGTTTTGGTAAAGGGAAATATTAGAGTTTGAGATTTTGAAATTAAGAAGTTTCCCATTTTGGTGAGGCCTGGGTTAGGGCTGCCAAATCATGTGACTGGGATGGAACAGAGTTTCAAGTTGGTGGGGTTGTCAAGATCAAGACAATGCAAAGCTAGGGAGTTTGGAGAGGGATCAACCTTGAAACCATTTGGTTCATCTTTCTGGTTGACCTTAAACACAGAGGGCTAAATAAATGTGCACTTGAGAAACATGCAGAAGAATGAGATAATCACAGTGAGGTGAAATCAATCTAGAAATATTTCTTGCATTATTGAGCTTGAAATTTGGTCTTAGGGAGAGGCAATAAATGGGTGAGCAATAGGTCATTCCTTGCTATTCCTAGCCATGTGTACCTGATAGCCCAAACCCATTCATTGATCAACTTGAGAAGAGTGTTGTCTTGAGACATCAGAGATATAATAGAGGCAGTGCACAGAGGGAACCCATTGGGTTTTCCCCTCTACCTTTCTATCTGCCACACCTGACAGAATTTCAACATTAATTTTAGATTTTCAAGACCAATAATTCAGTAAATGAATAGATACTTGATAATCCATAACTGTCTTCCCCTCTCTTCTTCTCTTGCTTCGCAAACCATCAACATCCATGTAGACTGAAGTGTCCCCTATTTGTCTGGCTTTTTATGGCCTCATAACAAGGCCTTTCCCACCATCTGGGATCCAGCTGGATAGTCCTCTCCAGTAAACATTCATCAACCTAATGGCCTGCCTCTAGTCACAGCTGCCTCTTCTCCTTGAAATTGAGCCCCACTGACAAAATGCTTAGAAGTACTAAGATCAAGCAAGTTCAGGGTGGTTGTGCATTTCCGAAGTCATATCAGCTCTGGATCTTTTTGAGGTCTATTTTAAGGGACAACTCAGTGTTATAATGCATGGCACTTAGTTGGATGCATGATTCCCAAATGCTCCATGCTTGCCTGTGTTCCTGGTCTCAGCAAGCCTTCTTTAGGAAAGGCTTGGGGTGGGCTTACTCAGCAGGGGATACACAGCAGTGTGGCTTCCTAGAAGAGGGTCTACCCTTCCCAACACTCCAAACAGGACTGAAGGATCAGAGTCTCTTTAAAAAACAGACAGTAGACACGGGGGAGGGTCACATCTGCCTGACACGTGGCTGGGTGACTATTTTCTAGGTTTTACTACCTTGCTGGTTTATAGATTTAGTCTAAGACTAAGAATAGATTACAAGAGACCACCTTCTCCACTTACCCTAGATCCAGAAAAATAAAATTTTATTCTGTTTTCGATGAGCTAAAACAACTATTTACATAGACAGACAAGACCAGCCTCCTACAACTGCCCTCTGTGTACCCCTTCCCATTGTAACCCTTCCCTTCCTGTTTCTGGGTTCCCTTTCTCATTACTGTTTGTCTTTGTGTTCTCATGCAGCCTTCCTTCATCTCTTGTGATTGGCGCAGTCTTCCATTATGGCTCTGCCAACTACTGGTCATGATCTGGGGAGCAGCCACAACTGAGGACAACTGCTGCAGAGTATCCCTCTCCATGGCCTTTCCTTCAGTCTCCAAATCTGTCCCAGTTTCCCCAATCTTGAGGATTCTTTCACTTGACATTGCCAGCCACTGTACCTACCTTTCATTTCATTCTCTTCTTTACCAAACTACCATTCACTTTCTTCAGCACCTG